ATCTTAATAGTTGTGAGATGGTCTCTTACTGTGGTTTTTTTTTTCCATTTTCCTAATGATTAGTGATGTTGGGCTCTTTATCATACACCTGTTGGCCATTTGCATGTCTTCTTTGGAAAAATGTATATTCAGGTCCTTTGCACAAATTTTTAATTTTCTTGGCTGTTGAGTTGCAGGAGTTCATTATGCCAGGTATTCTGGTAGATACTATGTTAAGTGTTCTTAGACCACACACATATGCACACATACACACACAAACACACACAAATAATATTAAAGGGAGTAGGAGGAAACATTAGGAGGTGATGGATAACCTATGACCTTGATGGTGATGATATTTTCACAGGTGTAGGTATATTTATCCCCAAGCTCATCAAATTTTATACATGGGTTGGCAAAAGTAGGTTTACAGTTGTTTGTATGGAAAAAGACATGCAGGTTATGATTATAAAAGCTTTATTAACTCTATACATACAACTGTACACCTACTTTTGCCCACCCATATATTAAACACATAAAGCTTTATACATATTAATAACACCTCAAGAAATTTTTTTTAAAGGAGAGAACAAAGAGCTCCCCTCCTCCATGTGATAATACAGCAGGAAGGTGGCAAACAAAGAACAGTGCCCTCACCAGACACGGAATCTGCCAACCCCTTGACCTCAGACTTCTCAGCCTCAAGAACTGTGAGAAATAAATGTTGTTTAAACCACTCAATCTATGCTATTTTTTATAGCAGCCTGAACTAAAACAGGGAATGACCAATAATAGATATGAGGTTTCTTTTTGGGGTGATGAAGATGTCCTAAAATTATATTTTGGTGACATTGTAGAACTCTGTAAATAAACTAAAAGCCATTGACCTGTACACTTTAAATGGGTGAATTTTATAGTATGCAAATTATATCTCAATAAAGCTGTTAATAAAAAGAGTCCTAGGAGAGATAGCATATTGGTTAAGAGTGCAGAACTTCTGGTATCTTCAGTGAGTCCCAGCTCTGCAAGTTTTTAGCCATAGGACCTTGAGAAAATTAGTTGCCCTTTCTAAGCCTGTTTCCTCAAATATAAATGGTGCTTACCTCGTGGGGGATGTTGAAGATTAAACAAGAACATCTGTGTAAGTTTCCTGGGACACAGGGTGTGCTAAAAAAAACTCCAGCTTTTTGTTATTATATAAGCCTTCATCTCTAATTCAAGGACATCCTTTAAATGGAATAAAGTGAGCCTTATGAAATTGAAAAAATGCTGTAGATTTGAGAGGTTAATTTGTAGAAATGTAGTAATAACTAATATTTTTCAGACATCGAGCAGGTTTGTACTTAAATTAACATTCTTATTACTGCATTCGTTTCCCCACAATCTTTATATGAATCTGTGAATTATCTCTACCATTCTTTTGGTTTCCTGAATGAGTTAAATAAAAATTTTATAGGTGTCCATCAAGAAGCTATGTGAGAATCATGGTTATAATATTTTGAGAGTTGTGCTTTCAAGTCACTTATTACATAAGTTCTCTCTACCATGATTGCCCTGGAACACAAGATCTCAGAACACTAAACCACTCAAAGGCCACTTTGTCCTCGCCATGCCTGCATTTCCTGTATTAAATTTTTTGTTCATGTGTGTCACAAAATTTGTGAAATTATATCTTAATTATAGACTTCAAGTCAATATTGCCCCCAACCACCCTCCCCCAAAATTTTAGTTTAATTGCATTTTCTCTCTCATGCCTCTTATATTTCTCTACCTTTTATGAGCCTTATGTTTCTCCTTTCTTTGATGCTCACTTGAGTGGGGCTTCATGATGGGGAATAGAATAGAATGCTGAGAAGGAAGTGAGGGAAACAGACCAAGAATGACAACTGTAATGGGTAAGATGATCAAAGTAACTGCTATGGACTGAATGTTTGTGTCCCCTTCATTCCAAACCCATATGTTGAAGCCCCAATACCCAATGTGATGATATTTGGTATTTGGAGGCAGGGCATCAGGAGAGGTTATTAGGTTTAGATGAGGGCATGAGGTTGCAGCCCCCAAAATGGAATGGGATCAGTGCCTTTACAAGAGGAAGACACCAGGGTGTGCCCCGCCCCCCCCTCCCGCTCCTCTCCACCATGTGAGGATACAGCAAGAAGGCAGCATTTGCAAATCAGTAAGTGAGCCCTCACAAGACACCTAATGTACCAATACCTTGAGAATGGACTTCCGAGCCTCCAAAACTATGAGAAATAAGTTTTATTGTTTAAGCTACCAAAGCTATGGTATATTGTTATAGCAGCCTAAACTGCCTGAGACACAAATGAAAAAGATTCTACCTTCTCCCCTTACAAATAACATTTCTTCTGTCACTTCATGAGATCTTGCAAAAATATTCATGATTAATTCTTGTAAATTATTAACTCTCCCCAAGACATTTGTATCACATAAAAGGATGGGAGGGTACAACTAGTGTAGATGAAATAATCCTTAAGACAGCCATTCTGACAGAAGGAAGAAAACTGCTGGGGCATTTTTGCTAAGGGAGATAGGGGGTTACTGATATTGTTCAAAGGATACCCAGCAGGTCCCTGCCCATAGTACCTACTTCTAGAACCAGGTGGACACAGATTATGGCGGATATGCTGGACCTACTCCCTAAAGTAAACTGCTTCCAAAAACTTCTCAAATTAGCAAAATCTCTGTTTAAAAGCAATTAACATGCTTATCATCCTATCTATCCATCCAGGAAAACAGACTGCAAGCGCCTCAAATTGGAACTTTATAATTAGCCCTTTTTTCAATTGTTTTAGGAACCTGTGAACCAAAAAACTTCATTTTATTAAGCAATTCAAATTATTACTTTGACTTCAAGACTTTGATGTATTATATGCCATATTGCAAATTATTTGGAGGAACAAGAAATAATCAAGACACATAATGCAGGTAATTTCCTTCCAGCTATGTGTACATACAGTCCTGCAAACCACAACACATGAATAGCAAACTTACCTGCGCAAATGAAGAAAGAAGACAGTGAAATAAAAGTACAAAAACTGGTGTGAATTATTCCTCTATGCCATGTCTGGAAAATCACTAAAATTTAGAAATGAGGGGAAAAGTTGACTGTAAAATAGAAGGCAGCAGACCAAAAATTAGATGGATTGACTCCATAAAAGAAGCCATAGGCATGAGTCTGCAGGAGCTGAGCAGGGCTGAGGACAGGACATTGTGGATATCATTCATGCGTAAGGTCTCCAATATCAGAGCCGACTCAACAGCACATAAACATAACCTTTAAACATATTGCCAAAGAACTGCCTATAAGCTGACCTGTGGATCATCTAACTTGGGATATTTAACTTTCTTGAACAATTGGTGAGGAAGCACAGGCTTTTTACAGTACTATAAATATGAAGTTAAACTGCAGATAAACAAAGAGCAATGACTTTTTTCTGCTCATTAGGGAAGTGTACACTTTTATTGTCCTACAGGTAAAAAACCAGTCTGGTTCCTAAACAATCTCATTTCTACATGTTTTCTCCCACCCCCACTACTTACATAACGATGGCTCCATAAATGTGGTTTTTTATAAGCACCTATGTAATTTTGCTGGGTCCCTGAAAAAAAAAGGGGGGGTTATAAAACAAGATAATTGTTCACCATCTATGTGGGATTTATGGTTAGGACAATTTGGGTGCTTTCAAACCACTTTTTTGGAAATGAGAAAATCATTACAGAGAAGCCACTTGGCTGACTTTTCACATTGCCTTAGCAAAAATAAAGGTCCAATTCATAAGAGGCTTGGAACAATCTTAACTGCTTTAGAGCATTCTTCCTCTGGTATTAAACAGTCATTAGTGGGGTCCACCACCGGGACCACCTTAGGTTTCTAATTTGATGTTTTGAATGCAAGAGTCAACAGAGAGTGTCTCTAAAATCACCGAGACTGGTAAGAGATATATTTTCTGAACAAGAAATGGACAAGGTTTACAGGAACAGGAAAAAAGTGCCATATTTATTGAGACAATTTCTTTTTCAATAGTGTTTCACATTTATTGAAAACAAAGAAGAGACTTATGTCCAGATAGTGTTGAGGAATTTGGTAGAATCTAAGAGTTATTTGGTAGACCAACAAGGACATAACTAAGGAAATACTGCAAAATTCAGAAGAGAACTGGATGCTGGGCACAACTAACAGGTCCACAGGAGAAAATGAGTGACTCAAATGGGCTGCCGGGCACCCTTGGGATCTGGCAGCTTTCTGGCAGGAGCAGGAGATCTGGGAGTAGGGAGGGAATGGTTCCAGAAGAAGGTAAAAGTCTGGCAGGCCCCTCCAAGGGGGTGGTGAGCTGTTGGAATCATTGTCCAGGGGCAATGGCCAGATCAGATAGATACCTTCTGGGTGAGTCCAGATCGCTGGAGGCTGCAGTCTGTCGGTGGGAGGCGGTGGGTGGCGATGGCAGCCATAGCGCCAATCCCTGGGCACATCGATGCAGGCCTGTTAGCCTGGCAGGGAGACAGTGGCAACCATCAGGATGAGAGGTCTATCCAGCGTGTAACGGGAGCCCAGCTCGCAGCTGGAGCCCAGGACGGAGTCCAAGTGCGCATGGGAGGGGCCGGGCTGGCCTGAGAGGGTGACAGCGCGCTCCAGAGCGAGGCCCAGCTGCAGCAGCAGGAACCTGGAGCGCTATTCCTGGAACAAAGGCAAGCACTACGCGGGAGGGGACAGGAGCGCGGGGGAGATCACCCAGACTGGAACGCAAGGGACCGGGAGGCCAGGCGGCAGGACGCCTGTGGCAATCTGGCGCGGGGACCCTCCCCCAAAAGCGCCCGCCCCCAGGCCTGAGAGTCTCCTGGCCTAGAAGTCCTCGTCCTCCACCCATCCAAAGACCCGCTTCATCTCGGCCAGGAAGCCCCGGTAATCACTGAGCAGGGGGCTCTCCTTCCTGATGTAGGGGATCACCCACTGCAGGGCTGGCCCCGTGAGGCGGGTGATGAGGAACGTCACCTTCAGGGCATCGCTGGAGAACAGGGTCTCGTCCACCAACATGTAGGCGCCCGTCTGCACGATAAACTCCGGGAGCCGATCCGTATCGCCGTCAAAGGTCTCTGGGAAGGGAATCGGGTTCCTCCACCGCCGCGTCCGGTGCCTGAGAGGCAGGGCCAACAGGGCTTTAATCAGCTGCACTCGGCCATCCATTGCACCCAGCTAGTTTGTCTGCGCTGGGCGGGGCTGGGCGGAGGTGGGCGGGGAGGCGTGATGGGAAGTGCGCGTCTGAAGAGGCGGGCCCAGGGACGTAGTGGGCGGGGCCAAGGGGGTAATCGGGCGCGGGTGTGGGTTCTGCCTACAAGGCCTGTTTGTCGCTAGTGCGCAGACGCACACCGGGCTGAGGTAGGCTCCAGGGCCCAGGACGAGGGTGGGCGGGGCCATAGGATGTAACCCACCAGAGCCTGGCCTCCGCCCACCAGCCGGGTGGTCACTAGGGCGCAGGCGCGAAACAGAAAAACTGGAACAATGAGCTAGGGCTTGAGAAGACAGAGGGAGGGGTCAGAGGTGAAGCTGAGGCCTGCTAAACGAAGCCCAGACGAAATTGGAGGGGCTGGGCTGAGTTTTAACCTGGGAAAGGAGGTGCAGGCTGCATGTGGGGACTAAAGAGTCCCTTTCCCAGGGTTGAGGAGGCCTGCCTCATGACTCCTTTCACACCTTGGTTCCTGCATAATTTGTGTTGACCATGGACTGTAGACACCGCTTGAGTGAGGTTCTGTGAACACATTTTCCCGCTTATGGATGGATCTCTCAGCCATAGAGGTATTGCACCGATGGTTGTAGATGTGGTGGCCTTGCATCATAACAGAAAAGCCCCAAATGTTTGCCAACATAATCCAGAGCAGGATATTAAAAAAATAATGTACCATAATCAGTTAATATAAAGAGGGTTGATTCATAAGAAATCTCTTAATGTGCTGTTGAAGAAGCCAAAAGAGGATTATCAGTATAGAAACCAAAAGACAAAAATAAGAGAGGTGGGATGCTTTCCAACTGCAACTTTAAACGTGTTCTACATAAGAATAAAGGAATGGAATGATTAAGTGTTTCACAAATTGGAAAAGAGGAGGGGAAGTTAACCATCACTCATTATATCTGAATTCATTTGTCTGGCTGAGTGGAAAAATTGATATAAATTCATCACGGGCTTTTATCGGTACAGAAAATGGCCATTTAAAATATAGAGCAGTGTCACGTACCCTATTCAGAAAAGCAGTTCAAAGGAAATAGTGCCTAGGAATATATTTTTTAAGTTGTAAAAGCCAGGTGAAATGTTTTCAGTGCTAAAGAGGGATGCAAAAGAACACTCAAACAAATGGTAAGATATCCCCAGATCTTGGAGAGGATGACTCAACGTCTTAAAGATGTTAAATTTCCCTAAGTCAAATTACACTTCCAACACATGACTAGGTCATGTCCTGAGTCAATATGGGGTTTAATCCAACTATGGGCACTAATTTTCCCCCAGCATCATTCTACCAAACCAGCGAGAGGATTTTGTTTTGATTAGACAAGCTTATTTTAACGTTCATATGGAAGAATAAACAACCAAAAAAAATGGTGTGAAAATGTTTAAACCCCGACTCTGGAGGAACTCACCTATCATTCTCTGAGCTTCCAAAGAAGTAGACAGGCTCTAGCGGGTAGTCACCCATGTGGGCCAATTGCTATATTCTTAGGCCTGCACAAATAATCTAGCTAGATGCCTCCGCTGTTTTAACTGGCTAATCTGGAGTTTGGAACTGAATTTAAACAATTTTATTTTGCTGTTTCTTCCCGTTTCCTCTTGGAGAACTATGAGGCCATCTCTATCAGCTGCTGTTGGCTATGGATGATATTCCAGGGTGGGTAGGGCAATATCATGAACAATGACAATACATGACTCAGGGACTATGTGGTTTCCCTACCACAGTTGGGAGCAGTTGAATTCAACACTGAAGGTACTCATCCCGCAGTGACCCGCATATCCCTGTTTGAGTAGCTGTAAAATTCAGTTAGCAGATGCCCTCCTGAAAAAGAGTAGGCTGACAGTCTCAAATTATATGAAACTTGGTATTTCCATACAAGTTCTGTATGGACTTGTTCTGAGGTCTGAGGTTTCCAGACAAGTTCTGAGGTCAGTTATCTTTCATCCTATAACAACAGAAGGAATCTTTACTCTGCACATGGGGGTGGGAACATGAAATGAGGGAAGGAGTCAGGGAAGAGGCTGCTTATGCCTGAATCTTGAAAGTGGGAAGAGAGGTGGATTTCCACAGACAAAGGGAGGAAATGATCGGATATGGAACCCCTGAAAAGGGTGGTTGGGAGTTGTCTGAATTAATTGCTGGGACCAATCCTGGGAGTCTGCTATGAGTGACCCTGTTGTCGGTTTTCCTTGCCTTTCCCCCGGTTTCTGCCACCTTAACTGACTTGCCAAAATTGTAAGTACAAACTTTGGGCCTTTCACATTGTGCCCAGGCCAGTACTATCTGATCCCAGAGCTCACGTGATTCCTTTGCATCCCAGCTCTGATGTCTCCCCATGTTCCCACCTAATAGCAAAGAACTCACATTTACCCGTAGGGGTGGGAGAAGCACAGCGTGGAAGGCCCTGTGGAGGAGGGTGCGATTGCACTAGGCCTGGGTAAACTTGTTCAGCAAGATTTCCCAAGTCAGAAATGACATAGGGGCTATGGTATATGCAAAGGCCTGAGTAGTGGAGGTGGACATTGACGAAGGGGCGTAGATACAAAAGTCAAAACAATGTGAGCAAAGATGAGTTTTCCGGTTGGGCCAAGTTCCCACTCAGACCTGGAGAGAGTGGACAGTCTCCCTGTCAATCGTTGCAGGCCCTCCAATGACGGTGCGTGAAGGCGGGGCCATAGAAGGCTGTAGAAGAAGCTCTAGCACGCGCCCAAACTCGTTACAATCTGGATTGTACTGTGCGGCTTCCGTGGCCGGTTTCACTCAGCGCTGAGGGAACATGGCGGCTCCCTGTCCTGTGATCTCAAAGTGTAAGTTTAATTTACTTGATTTTGTAATTAGCTGTCGGTAGTGTGATTTTGAGAGACTCGGGTAGATGGTGTATCTGATTCAATTGGACAGACCTGTCCCATGTGCTCCTGGATTGGTGACCGGGAAGGTTCCCTTCGCCGCGTGTCGGCGAAGTGTTGTGCTTTATGTAACGGCATGATGGGTCTTTCGGACCATTTCGTTGATCTAAATGTGGGTCTTGAACCCCACTATTCGTGGTCTTAAATGGTTTGTGGTGTTTGCTGCTTAAAATGAGGAAACGGCTGGTGCTTTTGGCCTAATCGGCGTGGGCCCGGGACAGCACAGTGGTGGTTGGCCGCCAGAAAGCTGATTTTGCCTCTTATTGTACAGTGTTGTTGGGTCGCTGTTGTTGCCAGGTGTTTGTTTAAATCTTGGTCTTGGTTATTTTTGTGAGATTTCTTATCAGTAACAGGATTTCTCTCATTTTCGACCTGGAAAGAGAAAATAAGGCCTTGAGGCGTGTGAGTGCGCTTATGACGGCTCACGGCCTTGGCAGCCTTTGAGCGCAGTTTGTTGGTGGTGGTGTTATTGATGTGTCACTTAACAACATGACTGTATGTTTAATATTACTTGCTTTGTTAAATTTCGGAATCGGCCTTTTTCTTATGTTGCCCTAGTAAGGAAAAAAAGTCCTGATAATTCCAACGTAAAAATGAGCAAACAGGCCTGGCTGGCTCAGGGTTCCTTCATTGAACACTGGCTTGTATTTGTATGTAACGTATTTGTGTATTTAATATCATTGTATTTAAACGCAGAGGTGTCTCCGGCGTTTTCCGTAAAATGTGTTTTGCTGTTTGCAAATTTCCAATAAGAAAATTGGTTGGGATGAGCTTGTCACTTTAAATCCCTGAAGGGGATCAC